CAGGAAATATATGTGTATAATAACCCATGCATACACACATATTTCTGTATTTATCCATCTGTATCTATGTTAAGCCGAACATGAGTTTATATTGATGTCGTTGACTCTAATCCAGTACTACATGGATTATTTTAGCCTTCCCTCTTTGCTTATCTGTGAGAATTATCCCTATAACAGTGAGAAACCTGGCTCCCACCATCCACCATTCAACTCCATTATATATGCATAGCAGTTTCATAATTGTTAACTCATTCCCCTGTGAGAAGCAGTTATAGAGTACAGTGTTTATATACAATTCCCTTTGTCCTTAGCCTTATAGTTTCTAGTCAAATCAAGGTTTCCAAAATTTCCAAAGCTATTTAGGTTAGTTTCATTTTCTTCCCCCCACTCCCTATAGGGCATCTCCCTCCTTTAGAATTATTTCTTCCCATTTGACTTGGGAGAAATACTGGATGTTGGCTTGTCAATGAGCCTTTGAACCATGACGTTTCTCTCAAGTCAGTGTCATAACTATAAGAGCTTTTCACCAGACATGGCAGACAGATAAGTGTTCTAGATGATTTTCATAAAATGGTAAAATCTCTTTTTTCACATGTTTTATAATAATAAAAGTCTAAGTGCTCATTCTGGAAAATGTGGACATTTTTATACTGTAGCAAAGTGTAAAGAGTAAAGAATCTCTAAACTCACCATGAAGAGCTATTTTCTTCATATTTCCAGTAACAGATGTACCATATGTTACATAAACACTGTAAACATCCAGAATATGAGTTTGGAAAAAGCAGTGTCAGTCAACTCTGATCTGGAAAACATGTGGTTTCTCTTGAGAAAGTAAGGAACTTAAAAAGATGAGATATGCTTGAAGACACAGAGATTGAAGTGGAAATTACCACCTCCCCTGCTTCTTCTGCCTTACATCTGCGTAGTTGTGCGCTGAAAAAAATTCCCTCCGCTTAAACCCCTTCTTTCAGAGCTGAGAGCCCTGTCCATCCCTCTCCTTTCTCCAGGCACTTTGCTTTGCACATTGTAGGAACTCAGGAAATAATTGTCAGGTAGCTGAAGTAGACCTAAGTCAGCCTCAAAAAACTGTTTCTATTTAATTTCAGATTTAATTTATTTTTCATTTGGCAATAAACACTTTTTTAGTGGATTAACCATGACTCATTTTATAGCTGGCCCTACATTTAAAATGTTGGTGACGCTCTTTCCGCCCTCCAAAGCCCTTGATGAAGCACATTAGCCGAACTCTGTTGCCTTTATGAGCTGGGGTCCACTTTATTAGACACAGAATGTTTGTAGTTTGGTGTCTTTAACTCCAAGTTCCTTTTACTCACCAAAGGAAGAACCACAAGAGGGACTTTTGCCAGAGGCAGAAAACCTTTCTCCTCCCTTGCTTCAAATCTATCACTTTACACAGAGGGTGTTTTAATGGGAAAAAGCTAATAAAACTTTTCGCTTTGGATTTTTTCCCTCAGGGAAAGA